GTGGAGTAAAAGTAGAAAGTATCCATTATTAAATCTACTTAAGTAAAGTACAGATACACGAAAATTGTACTTAAGCACACTGGTGGTAGGTGTTCTCTCTCCCTGCACTTTAGCTGATCTTGGTCAGAAAATCTAAATTGAAGTGTGATCTTAGGTAAAACGCCACTGCGCTGCGCTCCTCCTCTTCCTCGTTCTGCGAGTGTGTGTGTGTGCGAATTTGTGGATTGGCAGGTAAGAAATTAACGCTCATCTAAGCTCCAGTTTGTTCCAGTTTTATTTAAAATGATTAATTAATTTTCAAGGTCCCCCACAGTTGGACCATTGCTGCTCTGCTCTGTCTGCATTGGTCTCCTGATTTCTGCATATTCGTTTTAAAGTTGGACTGCGGCGGCGTTTTCCGCCTTCACTGAAGCGGTGTATGGGGGGTGGCATTGGCGCGCCCATTTCACCTCCTGCTGTGGCTGTGGCAAGAGGGCCACGCCTGGTCCTGCTGTTAACTTGTATTTTCTATGTTTTTCTATTTCTTATTTTGTATACAGCCCTTTTTGCTCTTTATTTAGTCGGGCTGATATTCTCTTTTTTTTTTTAAATCAGGTTTAAGATTGTTATATTGGTTAACTGTTTTTTGCTGAGTTGCTGAGGTCCGGTGTTGGTGTGATGACGGTGTCTTCCTCTTCTGCGTGCTGTGATTCTTGAGTTTGGGTTGTCCCACTGCGTCTGGTGTTAAAGGTTTGTTTTGGTTTGCTGTTTGGTGGTCGTCCCTATAGCGCCCCCTCCGGCCGGTAACTTCAGCTGCTGCACTTTGTTTTCCTTTGTTTTCCATAATAAAAAAACTGGTTTTAAAAAGAGTTCAATAAATGTTTTTTGTAAACTTTAAACTGTCTCAATCCTCGCATAATCGAACCTGTGTGCCTTAAATAAAAGGTAATATTCTCGGGGTGAAATTCCCAGGGTGGTGTTGTTGAGCAATCTATTAAAACTAAAATTCCACAAAATCTGAGTTTCATCTAGTGTCGCCACAAGTAGAAAATAGCAGACACAAATAAATGTGGCTCAAATGTTTTACAGTGTGTAGCCTGATGTAAAACTATTTTGCTAGACAATGTCAAACATTGAGAAGTTTTAGTTATTGGTATCAAACATGAAACCTAAAAAACCTCAGAAATAAATGGGGCCAATCACGAGAATCAACTTGTTTAAAGTTAAAACTCAGCTTCACACAAATACAAAGACGCTAGCATAAATGTTTGGCTGTTGAACTGAACCGTTCAAGGTCACTATCAAGCTAATTTTCTATTAGCAGCTTCACAAATCTTTCTGAGAAGCATTACATTACCAAAACACATGCAAACAAACCTGTATCCTGGCTTTTTTCTCTTCTTCCTCTTTCTTTTCCCTCTCCCTGAACAAGTCCTGTTTTATGACATTGTTTTTGCAAACTTATCGGTGCTTTGGAGGTTTGGATGAACACTGCACATTGCAGCTCATAATACCGGTGAAGCGTGACCTACTAGGGTGCCCCCAAGAGCAATTTATTTTTTCTTGGACAGTAGGTCCCCCGCCACCCAAACAACAAAAATTAAACTTCAATGAAAAACCAGTAAGTGATGGAGAGTTAAAAAAGTCAGTCGGACATTATGTAGTAGAAGAAATGCTCGCTTTCATTTCTTGCCATAATAAACCAAATCCCCACTACTGTAAATGCCAAGCTGCCTGACAGATGAGTATGCAAAAAAGCATTTATGTTTAACAAAGTGAAATACTTTTCTTTTTGTAAAAAAAAGAGAAAAAAGTATAAGTTTAATGAAGTCAAGAAAGATAAATTTTATATCAAGTAAAGTAATTGTTTATGATACTGAGCTCAAGAAGTACTTTTATTTTTGATAAAAATATGTATTTATGTTTAATGCAATCAAGAGACTTATTTTCAAAACAATTTTGTTGAGTCTGTTTGTTTGAGAACCTGGTGAGCAAACCAGCTCCCCTTGGGCGCAACACCCGCTGTGGATTTCCTCACAGACAGACCTCAGTCTGTGAGGGTTGGGAAAAATGCTTCAAGGGTCATCTCCCTCAGCACTGGCTCCCCCCAGGGCTGTGTACTGAGCCCAATGCTCTTCACCCTGATTACCCATGACTGCCATGTCAGGTTCAGTATTAAATATGTGGACGATACAACAGTGGTGTGTCTCATCAGGGACAACTGGCCTACATAGAGGAGGTGAAACATCTGGTGGA